GAACCCCATTTAATGTTTAACCCGCGGGAGGTTTATTGGCCCCTTCTGAGGCGCAGATTAGGAGCAAACAGAAAAACAGCCGCGGGCGGAGCGAGGCGGCCCCGCCGCGCTGATAAGGCGGCGGCGCGGAGCGCGGAGGGTGCGGGGAGTGCGGGACACGGGGTGCGGGAAATGAGGGACAGCAGGAGCTGCGGGACACGGGGTGCGGGAAGCGAGGGACAGCAGGAGCTGCGGGAAATGAGGGACAGCAGGAGCTGGAGGGCAGGGGCTGCGGGAGAGAGGACAGCAGGAGCTGCGGGACACGGGGTGCGGGAAATGAGGGACAGCAGGAGCTGCGGGACACGGGGTGCGGGAAATCAGGGACAGCAGGAGCTGCGGGACACGGGGTGCGGGAAATGAGGGACAGCAGGAGCTGCGGGACACGGGGTGCGGGACACGAGGGACAGCAGGAGCTGCGGGACACGGGGTGCGGGAAATGAGGGACAGCAGGAGCTGCGGGACACGGGGTGCGGGAAATGAGGGACAGCAGGAGCTGCGGGACACGGGGTGCGGGAAATGAGGGACAGCAGGAGCTGCGGGACACGGGGTGCGGGAAATGAGGGACAGCAGGAGCTGCGGGACACGGGGTGCGGGAAATCAGGGAGAGCAGGAGCTGCGGGAAATCAGGGACAGCAGGAGCTGCGGGACACGGGGTTCAGGCAGTGAGGGACTCCAGGAGCTGCGGGACACGGCGCAGGGACAGCAGCGGAGCGCGCAGCGGCCGCCCCCGCGCAGCCGGGGACGCCGGGGGTGGCTGCTCCGTGCGGGAGGAGAAAATCGCCTCTAATTCAACAGAACCCCAAAATGGATTGCTTCAGAAGGGATCCTAAAGCTCATCTCGTTTCAACTATATTTACGAGCTAAAAAATAAATAAATTTTTAAAAATTACAGCGAAATAAAATAGTAATTTAAGAAACAAATTAAGAAATTCAAGTTAAAAAAAAAAATGAACCCAAACCAAAACAAAAATAAAACACACACTTTTTAAGGTTTGGGTTGTTGTTTTTTGTTCCCCAACTGGGACAAAGCTTTGCCTCCTTTTTCGAATTTTTCTCCGACTCCCTGAGTGGGCAACTCTCCCGGGCCGGGAGGAGCCGCTGCGAGCCGGGACCCCCAAAATCTCGTTTTCGCCCATTTTACGGCGACAAAACCCATTTGCCCCAGGTCCTGCAAAGCTCTCCGCGGCTGCGGCGCCTTTTTCCCGTCGCCTGCGGCCACGCGCGGATCGAAAGCAACGAAACCGTCCGCGGATTTCTGCCGCTCTCCCGGGCCAGACCCGGGCCAGAGCCGGGCTAGAGCGGGGCCAGAGACGGGCCAGAGCCGGGCCAGAGCCGGGCAGGGGTCGGGGCCGCCCCGGTGCTCGGTGGCCGCGGGCCGGGAGGAGCCGTCGTTGGGCCAAAGTCGTTTGAAAGAGGCTGAAATTAAAACAAAACTCGTGAAAAAAAAATTAAAATATATATATATTTCCCGAGGTTTTATTCAGCGCCATCTTGTCCCTTTTTCTATCACCTATGTGTATACATTTCGCGGTATTAATTAGTGACATTAATTATTGGTGTTGTCAAAGCCCTCGGGCATTTGCCTCGGCCCAGCCCCGCGGTCGTGCTCGCAGTTCCGGGGTGGTTTTGGGGTTTGTGCTGAAAAACAACACTTGGTGCTGCGGTGGAAACATGTTCGGGGAAGGGATTCATAGCAGGAGAGGCAGGATTAAAAAAGAAAGGAAAAGAAAGAAAGAAAAAGGAAGGACAAAAATGGAAAAGAAAGGAAGAAGGAAAGAAAAAAACGAAAGAAAGAAGGAAAGAAAGAAGGAAGGAAAGAAAACCAAACAAAACGAACAAAACAAAGTGAAAACAAATAAACAAAAAAACTAAAATTAAGAACGAAAAAATGGGGTGGGGGGTGAGGGGTGGAAGTGTTAATGGAAAAATAAAACGGAAGGTTGGAGAGGGAAAAGGAGAAGCGAATGTAAAAGCAGCAGGAGCTGCCCGGGCCCTCGGGGCCAGCCGCACCCCACGCGCGGGCTGAATTCCACGCACAGCCGGGAAAACCACGGCAGAAGGGACCCCCGAGCGCCCCCCGAGCGGGGCACGAAGGAGGGCGGCGAGCGGGGAGCGCCGTGCCGCCCTCCCGAGAAATAATCACGGGCGGATTTCCTGCTCCTGAGCGCCGGAATAAACCGGGGGCGGGGAGGGGGCTCCCACGGGAGCGGGACTGGGACGGGAGCGCGCCCAGAGCCACGCGAGGGACACGCGGGGAGCGAGGCACAGGAGCGCTCCCACCTCCCGCATCCCCCTCGGGGAACGAGCCCGTGCCTTTTCCGCCCCCACGGCAAGAGGAGCCGGGGTTTAGCGGGTGGGGGTCACACCCGGGCAGGGACCCCCAAAAATGCCACCGTGGGAGCTCTGCGTCACCCGCAGGCCTCGCGGGGCAGTCACGAAGTTGGTGGGGATTAATCTGGAGCGGGCCCGGGGGTCGCAGGGATGAATGGCCCGAGGGGACGCGCGGGGCACCGCCAGCTGCTGCCCAGATGTTTCTCCGTGGGACCCCTCCTCTTCTGCGGAGCCCCTGGGGGCGAGCGGGGCCGGAGGGAGCGCGGGGCGGCCGGAGCCGCAGCCCCCTCATCTCCCAGCTGAATAATTAATGGTTCATCTGCGGAGGGGCGGCGGGACGGGGGGAACTGGGCTGGAAAGAGGAGAAAAGCGGCGGTGCCATTTCTAGGGGCCCGGCGTGCTCATCGATCCGCGGCTCACTGACTCGGACTAATCCATCAGATGGACTCCTGCGGCCCCGGACCGGGACCGGGACCAGGGCTAGGATCGAAAATAGGAACAAACAAAAAGAGAAGAGGAATAAGAATAGCACCGGGACCAGGACCAGGAACAGGAATAGGAACAGGAATAGGAATAGCCGGAACAGGAGTAGAACGAGGAACAGGACCAGAAAGAGAAATAGGAATAGAACCAGGACAGAGCAGGAATAGGATCAGAACCAGTACCAGTCCTTGCCCCGGCCGTGCCACACGTAGAACACTTTTTTTTTCTTATTTTCTTTTTTTTTTTTTCTTTTACCGGGAAGGAAAAATGCCTCTCGCCGCCCAGGTCCCTTCCCTGCTTGCCGTGGGGCGAGGGTGGCAACCATCCGGACCCCTCCAGGCCCCAGCCCAGGGCAGCCGGAAAGAACGAGGGGACTCCCCGAGGCCTCGGGCTGGGGGCATCGAGCGGGGGGCTCGGGCCCGGCCCCCCCAGCGCGACCCCTTCCCCCGGAGCCGCCGGGCCGGGGCTGAGCCCGGGGGCTGGGGCGGACGCCAGGGCCGGGCCCGGCGGGCGAGGCGGGGGCAGGAGCGAAACGAAAGCGGGAGGCAGCGGGGCTCGGGGCCCGAACAAAGCGGCGGCAGCGGGGGCAGCTCGGCCGAGCCCCGCCAGGAGCCGCGTGGGGAGCGAGGCGCAGCTCGGGCAGGCTCAGGACGGGAGGCTGGGCTGGTGCTTGGGGGGTTTTTTCCTGTTTTCACGGACAGCAAATGAAGAAACCCCGTTCCCCGGAAATCTGGGGGGTTAATTCCTGTAAATAATGGGGACATGGCGGCCCTGGCGCTGGGGGAAACGGCGCCTGGGAAGAAAAATAATTTTGGGGAGAATAAATCTCCCACGGCGGCGCGAGGGGCAAAGAGGTGACAGCAGGGACAGGGACCCTACGAGCCGGTTCGGGGACAGGGATCCCTCACCCGGGCCGGGGACAAGAACCTCTCCAGGCCGGCCGAGGAGAGAGTTTCCCCCGAGCTTCCCCCAGCTGCGGCCGCCTTTTTATCATCACCATCACGGATATTTTAAATTATTATTACTACTATTATTTTTGAATTATTCATTATTATTTCCAATTCTGGCGAGGCAGAAGCCCGAGCCCACTGCTCAATTAGCCCCAACAACGGGGGCATTAAACGGCCGATCGCGGCAGTGTTTAAATCTTTATTTACCAGAACCTTGTAAAGCCAAGAACAATTTGCATTCTATTAACTGCTTTTCAATAGGGCATCGACTGGAACTAAAAGATGCCACTACCCTGCCCTAATTAAAGAGCAACTGAATTACACTAAATACATATGAACGCTGCTCTTCCCCATAAATAACGGCGGGTCCTCGTCGCTGGCTTTGCCCGTCCCCACGGGGAGCTCGGATTTCTTAAAAAATAAATTAAAGATCGCTAACGCGTGTTTTGTCCGCCACGGCTCGGCCCCGCGGAGCCAAAGCTCCGGTCGTTTCCGGGGGAGCGGCGCTGAGCCGGGGCTGGCGGGGAGCCCCGGGCACGTCCCCGCTCGCCGCTGTCCCCTCTGTCGCACCCTCCGGCCCCTTCCCCGCGACCCCCGCCCGCCCTCGGCGCAGATCGCCGCGTTTGCCCGGCACAGCCTCGGCCCAGCCGCGGGACTCGACCCAGCCGGGACACGGGGCAGGCGGGCTCGGTCCTTCTGCCGAGGGCAGCCGGTGCCCGGAGGGAGCGGAGCGCGGCCCCGGTGCCGCAGCCCCGGCGGGGTGGCCCGGAGGTTCCCCGGTACCGAGAGGCGGCGGCCGGAGCGACCGCGGAGGAGTTCCGGGGTACTGCCCGCGCCGCGGGGCCGGTTCGGCGGCACCGAGAGGGAAATGCCCAAGGCGGGAGGACGGGCGGCGGCCAGCGGGCACCTCTGGGCTCCGTCCAGCCGCGATCCCGCATCTCTCGCGGGCAGCAGCAGGCCCGGGGAGGCGGGAGGTCGCCTTAGGTATAACTCACCTTAAACACAAATTCCTTCCCTTTGGTCTTAAGGGCACAAACCGGGTCGGTAACACCGCCCGGGCCCGGCCCCAGCTCGCCATGGCAACCCCGGAGCCCCCGAGGGTTCCCACGCGTGTTCGCAGCACGCCCTGACCCACCCGCCCGGAGGTGCGGGGCTGGCGGCCCGAGCCGAGCCGTGCCGTGCCGTGCCGTGTCCTACCTGCCAGTCTGAGCGCCGACATCCTCTGAAATTCCGGCTCCTGCAACCATTTCCACATCCTGCGGAAAGTCTCCCGGCCGGACTTGAGCTTACTCCAGGGCTTGGGGTTCCGCAGCAGGTCCGAGAGGGTCCCCTGGGAGCGGCACAAGATCCTCTGCGCGAAGATGGCCTGCGGGATGCTGTACCGCTTCAGCTCGGCCGTGATCCGCTGGGCCACCTCCTTGGTGTTGATCTCCTCCACCTGGCCGGAGCCGCCGGGCTGGGAGCCGGGGCCGGGCGCCGGGCGCTCCCGCTCGCCCAGCAGCGAGGCTCCGGGCTGCCCGTGCGGGTGCCCGTGCGGGTGCATCCCGTTGAGCGGCGGCATCATGGCCGAGCTGGGCGCCGCCAGCCCCCGCGCCAGGTGCTCCTCGCCCCGGGACAGCATCGCGGCGTGCGAGTCGAAGCCGTTGGGCGAGAGCATCTTCTCGTTGGGCAAGTGGCCGGCGGGGCCGTAGGGGGCCAGCGGCTGCTGGGCGTTGTGGAGGCTGCCCAGCCCGTTGGGCAGCGGCGACAGGGGCTGCCCCATGGCCGGCATGTCCTTGGGGTAGTGGCTGTAGAGGTTGCCCATGGAGGCCAAGCTCCGCTCGTCGCGCATGAGGGTGAAGCTGCCGCTGACGTTGCCGGCCAGGCGCTGGTGCGGGTGGTGGTGGTGGTGGTGGTGGTGCGGGTGGTGGAACTTCTCCGAGACGGTGGAGATGGGCGGCAGGTGCTGCAGGGGAGTCAGCGTGGTGTAGGTGCTGCTCAGGCTCATGCCGGAGGGCGACTCGCAGGACATGCTCATGGCGGGGTGCAGCGGGGCTCCCAGGCTGTGCTCGCCGCGGTAGTCGCCCCCCTCCAGGATGGAGGCCATGCCCGAGACCATGGCGGGCCGGCCGTGCGGCACCAGGTTGCGGTGCGAGCTCTGCCGCCCGTGCGCGGGGCTCAGCAGCTCGGCGGGCTGCGAGTGCGGGACTCCGTGCAGGCTGCCCAGGTTCTCCATCGCCAGCTCCATGGTGGCCGCCGGGCTCTGCCGCTGCCTCGCCCGCTCGCTCGCTGCCTTCCCGGGAGCGCCGGCACCCGGACCCCCCCCCGGGTCACCTCCCCCGCCCCGGGTGACCCCTGCCACCGGCGTGACCCTCCCCCGGACCGGGAGTCGCGCCCTCCCCGCCGCACCCGGTGCCCAGCGCTCCCGGCGGCGCTGCAGGTGCCCGGTGCCCGCCTGCGCCCCCGCACATCTGGCTGGCCCCGGGCCACTCCCTGTGCGCACATCTGTGCCAGCCACCCCTGGATGTGCCTGTCCCCAGCGTCCCCCGACCCCGCTGCCTGCCCCGTTCTCCACCCCGTGCCCTTCCCAAGGGCCTGGCTGTCCCTTTCTACCCCAAAGATCCTGTCCCGCATCCCCGGGGTTCCCCACGCGTGTCCCCCCCGTTCCCATTCCCGGGAATGGCGAGGTGGCCTTGGCACGGGGAGGGGAGGTGACAGGGACACGCTTGGAGAGACACACGGTGCTGCAGGGCCCTGAGCAGCGGTGGTGGAGGAGGGAAAAAAAAAGAAGGAAGGGAGGAAGGAAAAGGAAAGGGAAAGAATAAATTGAAATGGAAAATGGAAAACGCGAAGGGAAAATGGAAAATGAAATGGGAAAATGGAGAATGGAAAGAGAAAACTGAAAGGGAAAAGGGAAATGGAAAGGCAAAGGAAAGGAGGGTGAGGAAGACTGGGTGAAGAGCCGACGTGAGCCGGTTTTAGGCCACCGGAGGGATGGTGCTCGGTGTCCTTCCAGAACGGTTTTCAGCTGGCCCCGGCCCCTTTATCCCGCGTGGGCTCCCCGGGCAATTCTGGCCTTTCCCGGCCCTTTCCGCTCAACCAGCTCGGCACATGCCGGTTTCCCAAGCTTTATTGAACAGACCCAAAAAATAAAAATAAAATCCATAGTTTCCTGCGGGTGGGGCCCCCAGCCCCGCGGGGACTGCTCAGTTCCCGGCCCTGCCGGGCTCCAGGCGGCTTCCACAGCCAAGGCACGGCCGGGAGGAGCTCCGGTGCGGGGTGGCAGCGGCGGGACAGCAGGGCCCGGCCCTTCCGGGGGTGTTCGTGGAGACCCAGCCGGCCTCCGCCTGCTCGGGGAGTAACTCAGCCCAATCCCGTCCAAATTCAGTGTTTTTAACACAAGCCATCTGAAGCCACCTCACCCCCTCTCAACCCACCCGTTCCATCCGTTCCATCCATCCCATCCCATCCCATCCCATCCCATCCCATCCTATCCCATCCATCCCACAGTTTTCTATCCCATCTGGCACCTTCTCCGGGAAGTCAATTAAATGCCCAGTTCATTAAAATAAAGCCCCGCAAATTCCCGGGACGTGAGAGCAAGGGTAGATGATGATCGGAGGGGAGGGGGACCCTCCCCTCTGCCCCTTTTCTGCCCCTCACACCCCGATCCAGCCCTTGGAGCCGGGGTACAGAGGGACCCGGCCCCCCTTGGCCTCCCCCTCGGTTTGTGCCTGCCTGGAACGCCGGGGGCCGCGAGCAGGACCCCTGAGACGCGGGAACCAGCCGGGAGCGGGGGTTCGGGCAGGTAACGGGACCGGAGCCGGGCAGGGAGGGGCAGAGCGGTCTGAGTCCAGCACAGATTGAGGGGGGAGGCGAAGTCGAGGTGCCAGGGGTGGGCAGGGAGCCCCAGAGCCAGACAGAGCTGGGTAGGAGTTGGACAGGGGCGCAGCGATGGACAGAGGGGGACCTGGGGCTGGGCAGAGCTGAGCAGGGGAAAGCTCGGAGCTGGGCAGGGATGGGCAGGGGAGGCTCCGAGCTGGGCAGGGACGGGCAGGGGCCTGGAGCCGGGCGGTGCCAGAGGGTGCAGAGCGTCGGTGTCGAGGTGAGCGGCGAGGAGGAGGTGGGGAACAAACCAGGGATGAGGCATCCGCGTCTGGAAGGGTTTCATTGAGTGTAATAATGGCGATAGCGCATCGACCGCCCATCGATAGATCTATCCCTGCAGCTGCCGTCCCGCACCGCGGGCCCGTGCCGGGCTCCCTCCATCGCCAGCCCCGCCGGGCCCGCAGCACCGGGAGCCCCCCGGGACGGGCGCTGGACTCTGCCCTCCGCCGAGCCTCGCACCGAGCAAAGAGCAAAAAACAGAGAGACTTTTTAGTAATTAGTGCGACATAATTGAGTAATGCGGTAGCCCCGCGCCCCCCTCCTGCCCCCCCGGCCCTTCCCCGATCGATGCAATATCATTAGGGCGAGAGGCACCGAGAGGCGCGGGGCCGGGCCGCGGGGAGGCGGCGGGAGCTCCCCGGGCCGGGTGCGGGTCCGGCCCGGGCTGCGGGGGAGCCGCGGGGCTCGCAGCCTGCGCGGCGGCTCCGGCCCGGGGGAAGCCTCGGAGCGCCCGCAGGCTCTGGCGATGGGCCGGGACGCGGCGCGGGGGAGAGGCCCCGGCTCCATTCGCCAGCTGGATGCTATTGATCCCTTCCCTCGCCACCTCTTTCTTCCCGAGCTCCCTCTCCCTATTTAATTCCCTTCCCTCTGCTCCTCCGCAGCCGCCCGGGCAGCGCTCCGAGCGGCGCCGGGCGCTGCGGGCACCCGGGGGCGCAGAGCGGTAAGTGCGGGGAGGGGGAGCGGGGGTCGGGGCAGCGCCCACCCCCCGCAGCCCCCAGCCCCGCCGCATCCTCGCAGCGACCGCGGAGCGAGGAGCAGAGAGGCGCGGAGCCAGCAGCCCCCTCCCCAAGCCCCCCAACCTCCCAGAGCTGCGCTCGGCGTCCCCGTCCCTGCCCCGCTGCCCCCGGGCCGTGGGGGCTCTTGGGGCGGCCCCAGAGCCGGGGAAGGCACCGAGCATTGCTGCCGGTACCGTGCCCGCCGGGGCTGCTGCGCGGCTCCTGGGCTGTTTTGAGTTCAAGTCTGGTTTGTTTTTCTTTTTCTTTTATTTTTTTTTCCTCCCCATTGCACTTAGGACCAGCGCGAAGGCACACACGCCCCGGCCGGGACCAGCCCCAACGGAGGGGCCGCACCGCGGGCGGTGCTGCCGCCGAGCAGGCACCGGGCACCGGCCAAAGCTGCGGGTTTTACCGGGCAAGGGAAGAAAATTAGCCGGAAAGCGGCTGCACGCACCCCGCCGGGAGCCAAAAAGTTCCTTAAAGTTCTTTAAGGCTTCAAAATAACAGCACCATCGCCTGGCAGGTGAATTATTTAGTGCCTATAGATCCCTCGCAAACCCTTTCATTTCGGTTCCAAACCTTCCCCAGCCCAGCCTTTGCCTATGGATGTCTCGATTTTCCAACAATCAAGCGGGAGGCAAAGAGCGTGGCAATTCCTGCTAATCGATTTTCCATACAATGGGCCCCAGATGATGTTTTAAAATGTGAGAAACTAAAATGTGTTGGTTTAAATAAGACTTTTGCAATCAATAGCTTTTAAAAAAAGAGTCTTTGATACCGGTTCTTGAAGGGGATTCAAACGCTTTCGCTTCCAAAACAAAACAAAGCAGGAAAAAAACCAGCCACGCCGGAAAAGTTCCGCCTGGATTTGGGGTCATTGCAGCGGGATATGGAGAAAGGCGCTCGGGGGGCGCAGCGCCGGGGCCGCGCCCCCCCAGTCCCGCTGTCCCCTCGGCGGGGCTCAGCTCCCCCGGGCCGGCCTCGGGCAGGGCCAGCCCCGCGGTTCTGCTCCTTTCCCTGCCCGTCCCGCCCGTTCGGGCGCGATTTTCCCTTCCCGGCTCTGCCAGCCGCGCTGCGCTGCGGTTTGCTGCGCCCCGGGAAGGAATCCAGCCGAGGAAAAACTCCGGCCCTTTCCCCACCGACCGCTTCCTCGGCTCAAAATTCCGACCCCCCTCGGCCGATCATCGAGATCTGCGCCCTCGCAGGGTTTTGGTTTTGTTTTTTTGAATTTTTCAGACAGTTTTAGCTGCAAGATCAGGCCCTCTCCCCACCCCTCCCGACTTCTTTTCCTTTCCCTTTCCCTTTGGCGGGACAGAATATAATTTTTTTAACGCCCTACTCGCGTGAAAATTTTCATTCTCTCTGCAGATCCGGCCCAGGAGGATTTTGGGGACAGGAACGGAGCGGGGGCCCGGCCGGGAGCTGCCCCCTCCCCCGCCCGGCTCCGCCGCCCGGTCCCGGTGGGTCGGGCCTGGGCCGCGCTGGGAGGGGGGAAAGCAACAAAACCGGGGGGAAACGGAGCAGGGAGACCGGGGGGGAGAGCTGGGGGCTGACCCGGCCCCTCCACGGCTTTTCTGGAGACTTTTCTCGTTTACCCGGAAACTTTGGGCGGCCTCGAAACTCCGCGGGCGGCAGCGGCGGGGTGGCGGCGGCGGCGGGGAGCGGGGACGGGGGGGTTCCCGTCCGATTTCGCCCCGGGGGGGCAGTTTGAGGACGGGCCGTGTCTCTTTTCGATGTAAGCCCCGCAGGTTTTCCCCGAACAGAGCGGCCCCGCGGAGCTGCGGCGCATCCCGGGCCGGGCCGGGCGCCCCCGGGGCTCCGCACCCGCCCGGGCCGGGGAGCGGGGCCCGGGTCCCCCCCGCTGCCCCCGCGCCTCCAACACCCCCGCGAGTCTCCGGGAGCCTCTTTCAGCCGCAATTTGTTTTCAAAAGTTCCCCGCAGAGCACCGCTGAACTTTACACCCTGGCAGCGGCACGGAGAGGGCTCGACCCCATCGGAGCTTTCGGGGGAAAAGCGTGGAAAAATCTCTGGGATTTCGCCCAGCTGCGAGACAGAAAAATTATACAATCGAATTTTAATTTTTTTTTATTTTTTCCCCCTAATTTTTGCCCTCCCTCCCGTTGTCTGTCTGCCTTTCCCCGCTCAGGCCCGGCCATCCCCGGGCCGGGTTGGGGTGCGGGTGTCCCCAGGGGGGGCACACGGAACGAGTTCGCCCGTGCTTTGCGGGACGGGACCCTCACACCTCCGGGCTGTCCTTGTCCCCCTGCTCTGCCTTCTGCCACTTTTTGCTTCTTCTGCGTTTTGGACACCTTCAGACCCGCGTCTCTGAGCGCCCCAAAAGCTCTCGGGGGCTCGGGGGTTGGAG